ATGACTTCATTCAACAATGATGAATTTAGATGTCCTCTAAAGGATGGATTTAAAATATTAAAAAAAGACATTGGTTCATTACCACTTAATCGAGCCATACGTGATTTAGTAGAATCATATGGTAGGTGGAGTATTTTATCATGTAAAAATAAGTTAATCTTATTTCGTTATAAGAAAAATAAAAGCAAAGGAATACTATAGTGAAGACGATTTAAGTTGATATAAATGTTCTCTAAGCGATGACCAACTTTTTGACTCACAGTATCAGATTATTTTACTCATACTTGTTTTCAAAGGTTTTTCATATATATATAATCAATTTCATCTTTTCATATTCGTCTATATGTTATTTTCAATCTGATGCGTCTTTTAGTTTCAACTCAACGTTCAAATCTGTGTACTAATTGCAAGTTGGCTGTAGCTGAGTATAAATGTGACACATGTAAAGATGAAAATTTTTGTTCCGAGTGTTATCAAAAAGAACATACATCGCGCATCATGCAGAAACATCGACGGCTCTCCATCGATGAGAAATTACCAGAAATGATGCTATGTGAAACACATCCGAAAAAGGAATTGGAATATTGGTGTTACACATGTCAGAAACTCATTTGTATTGATTGTCTCTTATTTAATCATAAAGATCACAGACATGCATCGAAAGATGATGTGGCAAAAGAATTAGAAACACAGGTCAGTATCATTTCTACCTGACAGATTGGATACAATATAATCTTCTCTTTTGTTATTTAGATAAACACTTACTTACAAGCTATTCAATCAGCTTTAGAATACAGACATAATCAAGCAGACATATTAATAAATGTAATTGATAGTGATTGCAAATATAGTAGATTAAAGATTGCGGAAGCTATGACTTTATTACGTGAAATTATTGATAGGCATGAGAAGACAGTATTACAACAGATTTCGACTATTGAACAAGAACAAAAGAAACAACTTGAAGATTATAAAAATCCATTAAAAAATGAATTACACAATTTGAACATACAAAAAGCAACTTTTGAAATGCTTATCACAAGCAACAATTCTACAAAACTACTACAAATGAATAAGAAATTTGATGATTATATGAATAAAACAAATGCGACACTAATATCATTTCGAATACCAACTAGAACTGAGTATCATTTAGAAGGACTTGATCAATTTCAAATTTTAAAGCAGAAAATTGAACAATATGGACGATATGTTGAAATTCCACCTTATCACAACTCAGAACTTGAGCAATTTATTGCTGAAAATCGAACAAAGCAAAAATTCGATTTAACTGGTCGAAATTTAAGCGATTTAGATATGAAAATTGTGGCGGATGTCTTAAAAGAAAGCACGGTAAGTAAACATGGCTTCGGTTGACTCGTTATTCTCCTTAAGAAAAAGTATTAGTGGTTTACGGTAACCTTTTACGGGCATTGTTTACGGCGATCGTAATACGCTGTAAAGTGTCGTTTATCACGGCTGTAAACGGCTACCGTAAACAGTCGCCGTTATCCGCCATGATTGGTTAGTGTACGGCCGACCACGATTGACCTAAGAATTCTTTCTTACGGGATACATTGAAGTTAAAAATTAATATGAAACTTTCCGGCAAATTTTAATTATTAATAATTAATTTGGAATTGTTACATAACTAAAACTTCGACATGAGAGTAAGTGTTTTTCACAAAAATGAAGCCCATTGAATTCTGCACTGAGCAACATATCAAATAGCTTTCAGCTACCAATGAATAACCATAATATTCGCTCAATACTAAAAATGTACTTAACTTTGTTTTCCCTGGACAAAAGTTACTCGTGTAACGAAAACAAAAACACTTGAATTCAAAAAAATTTTCGTATCTCAGTTTTATATGTCGCCCTGAGAGCTAACGAATCAACGTTTGGATATTCTCAATAAACTGTTATTCGTCAAGAATCAATAAAATAAAAAGTGTACTAAACTTTTATCATCTATTTTAAATATGAACACGTGTTCTACAGATGATAGCGATAGTTATATAAAAAAAACTAGCCAAAAAGCTTCCTGTCTTTATCCTTATCATGCACTTCTTTTCTAATTTTTCACAGACACTTACCAGTCTCGGCCTCGCAGAAAACCAAATCGGACAACAAGGAGCCCAACATATTGCTAATGCTCTCAGAACGAACCAAGTAACTAGTCTTTCTATTTTATTGTCATCACATACTCTCTCTCTTCTCATTATACACAGACACTTACCATACTCTACCTCAAAGGAAATCAAATCGGAGAACAAGGAGCCCAACATATTGCTTATGCTCTCAGAACGAACCGAGTAACTAGTCTTTCTATTCACTGTCATCACATACTTTTTCTCCTCATTATACACAGACACTTACTGAACTCTACCTCGCACACAACCAAATCGGAGAACAGGGAGCCCAACATATTGCTGATGCCCTCAAAAGGAACCGAGTAACTAGTCATTATCTTCACTATCATCACACACTTTTCGGCTCATTTTACAAAGACGCTCACGATACTCGGCCTCACAGAAAACCGTATCGGTTATCAAGGAGCCCAATATATTGCTAATGCTCTCAGAACGAACCAAGTAACTAGTCTTTCTATTTATTGTCATCACATACTCTCTTTCTCCTCGTTATACACATACACTTACCACACTCTATCTCAAAGGAAATCAAATCGGAGAACAAGGAGCCCAACATATTGCTAGTGCTCTCAGAACGAACCAAGTAACTAGTCTTTCTATTCATTGTCATCACATACTCTTTCTCCTCATTATACGCAGACACTTACCACACTTGGCCTCCAACAAAACCAAATTGAAGAACAAGGAGCCCAACATATTGCTTATGCTCTCGAAATCAACCGAGTAACTTCTCTCTCTTTATTTTCATCATACATCTTTTTCTGTTCGTTTTACAAAGACACTTACCACACTCGATCTCAGAGAAAATTCGATTGAAGAAGAAGAAATTCAATGGATGCAACAATCTTTGAAGTCAAATAAAAACTTAACCGTGTATTGGTGATGTCCGACGAAAGAAGTGCTGATTTCTAATACAATTTCCTTGTTTTAATGAAAATTAAAGTAATTGTCTGTGTCATGTCATAATTTCTGCAAAGTTATCATGAATATAATGATGAATCAACTGTTTGTTTTGAGATAAATAATAATAATAAGTGAACATTCCGCTTTTTGCATTCGATGATGTGATATGATACCTATCAGAGAATAGCTGTTAATAAAAAAGTGAATTTAACATATGGGAACATTAAGATTGTTTGACTTCAAAAGTTTATCGATATCAGGATGAAGAAGAAAAAATCTATGTTGCTGTTTCTGAGAACTAATAATTCACGTGTAAGTCTTTCATTAATGGACGATGTTTAAACGACAATTTATAGTTTCAATGAGTGTCTTTAAAGTTCATAGAAACAGATTGATGAGTGTATGTTGATAAGCTTGATTACCAATTTGAGGAAAAGGTCGTCAGAATATGACTATTAATTTATTGTTATAATCATTATGGAGAAAACCAAGCAAGAAATGTTAAGAAGAAACAGAAACCTTTAATTTCATTAAGTTTTGTTTTTGTTTTGGCGTAGAATATGCATGAGTTATATTGAAGATTTCTCTAAAAAACATGTCTGTATTTTATAAATTTCAATTATTCATTATTTCTTATGAACATCGACAATCACTCAATGTTGCGAATTAATATTCCCATATCTTTCATTTAATAACGATAATATAGTTTTTGGCCTCATCTGAGCTTTTCGATGCTTTTTATCCATTGTTCTATGAATAATACCATAAATGAGTCAAAAATTTCTCAAATTTAATTTTTTCATCTCATCCGTTTTTACACTCAATTTACTTTTAATAATTTAGTAGATTGCCATATCATCTATTAAATGATGTTACACTTGTCTTTTTTATTGTAGAATTAATTACCATTGATGACATACAAGAAATTGCTTCAATCGACTTAAGCATTGCTCATTACACAAGTCCTGTTGAGACGTTTTTAGGATCATTTATCTTTTGTTACATTCAAAATGTTCATTACAAATAGATTGCCTCCAATCGTAAAAGTTCCAAATAAATGCAGTTAAAAGCATGACTTGTTTTGATATTGATTAACCACTAAGCCGATTCTATAGTGCATGCTTTACTTGCGTAGATCTGATTATCAGTATCATGAATATTTTATTTTATTATTTTTCGATTTATTTCATATCGTGTATTATTCAATTCTTTAACTTCATTAATAGAGAATACACATCAACATTCAATGAATAATTTTGTCAAGATATTGATTTTGATATTAGTAAAGTTTCTTCTTTCAGATAGAAAGAATCATACATTGATACAATCATATCCATTTCTAATGAAATCTAATTTATTTTTATTTTGTATATTGATTTTCATTATTTATATAAATAAAATGTTTATTTAAGAGAGAGAGAGAGAAAAACATAAATATTTTAGTCAAATATCAAATAATAAAGAAAAATTTATAATCAAATGATTAGTTAACGAAACTGATCTTGATCAAATTCATTTTTCTATTAATCTTTATTTAACTATGTAAGATATGTGGAACCTTGATTTTCAAACACACTGAAAATCTTTTCTTGGCTTGTTTTTTAATCATAGATAAAATAACAAAATACAAAGTAATCTAGTAATTTGATTCTTCTCTTACTCGTGTTTTTTTTTCGTTTATATATTGACATTAAACATTTGTTTATCGGTGTATAGGTGTACCAAGCAAAAGAATGTCAATAGAAAAGGTGTAGACGTTTCGTCATCTGTTGTTCTTCTTGCTTTGTGTTTCATTGCATTGAAAATGAATATTTTTTTACCAGAGTCTGCAGAAAATAGAATTAAAAAAACAATATTTTAGACGTATATTTAAATGAATATCATTCATATTGATCAACTGTCAATATATCAAATCTTGGAGAGTGTTTGCTACACACTACAGCGAAACCATCATGATTAATGACAAACCAAATTCAACAGCCATGCTTATTTTGTTTCTTCTGCCTCACAACGTTATTCCATTACTGTACCACACCCACACCCAACGGAGTAACGGAGGTGTTAAAGCAATAGGAGCGACGCCCTTGAAATATCTATGTGACGATCCACAGTGGTTCTGTCGCGAGCTGTAACAACCTATTACAATTCCAAAATTGTTGGAAATACATTCTAAATTAATGTGTAATAGGAAGAAGATTTCTGGCATATGGACAAAAATCTAAACTAAATCTTTCCCTCCATATATAATGGGGAAAAAGAAATGACATAACGTTTCGCACTGTAATGTCGTCAGAAAGCAAATAAAAAGCGCAACTTGTAAGTTTCTTTTTCTTTCCTTTCACACTGGTTAAGATAACAATGACACATGAGGTACGAAAAAACATTCTTGTCTTACTTCGTTGGATAGGATTTCATGGAAAAAACCAATGATGTTAGGTATTTTTCGAAATATCTATCGATTCAAAATAATATAAAAATGAAATTCATCATCATCATTTTATTGTGATCTAATTAAATCGCATCGATATGGCTACTACTGGTATTATTCAAATTCGAGATTCCATTAAACAATCTTCTCTACATAGAAGGTGCTCCTCTGTAAGTAAGACTGAAAGAGAACAGAAAACTATCATCTCAGGAACAGATATTCCACAACAAGAATTTATTATTGAAAAAAAGAAATATTCTTTAAATGAATCCGAATCAATACAAGAAATTCGAATTCGTGGTCTTTCTCATTGGCCACATTTTACACCAAGTAATGAATCAATGGCATCTGCTGGTTGGTTTTCATGTAATGTTAATGATCGAGTTATTTGTATATATTGTAATACAATTTGTCATGAATGGACAATCAATGATGATCCAATTGAAGTTCATACAAGACTTGCACCACAATGTCCATTTGTTCTTTCAATACCATCAGTAAATAATTCACCAAAAATAATTAATGATACATTTGATGAAAAATTTAAACCATTTCATCCTGGAATGGCTGAAATATCTCGTCGAGAAGCAACATTTTCTAATGTTAAGTGGACAGAAAATTCACCAAGTATTGAAAGTTTAATTCGTGCAGGATTCTTTTCTACTGGTATTGATAATTCAGTAACATGTTTTTATTGTAATGGTTCATTACATAAATGGAGTCCAAAGGATAATCCTATGATTGAACATGCTCGATGGTTTCCTCATTGTACTTATGCTAAACATTTATGTGGAAATCAATTTTATGAAAAAATTCAAACATCCAAAAAAAAACTTATCTTAACAAAAAATAATAAAATTGATAAAGATCAACTTACACGTTTAGTTCTATCACGACTTGATTTACCTATAGTTGAACGTCTTCGTTTACAATATTCATTAGCAATAATTAAACGTTGTATTGAAGATCAATTCAAAATTAAAAATGATGATTTTAAATCAGATATTGATTTAACAATGGCTTGTTTAATTCTTCAAAAACAAATTGATATTATTAAAGGTTCTACAGACAATATAATAATTCCATCAAAATCTCAACAATTAGATAATTCATCTCAATCATTAAAACAATCATTAGGGGAATGTTTCATATGTCTTACTGAAGAAAAACAATTAGCATGTATGCCTTGTGGACATTTATGTGCTTGTGTTCCTTGTGGATATGCACTTCAATCATGTCCAATTTGTAGACAAAAAATTCAAAGTTTTATGAGAATTACTTCTTAAGTTTTCTTCTAAAATTTTAGTCAATTACTTTTTCAATAGTTTTGTGGTATTTTTAAATAAATGTTATAAATATTCAATTTTAAAGACAACTATTGTATGATTAACAAACAAGATTGCCACTTCTTCTGCTTTTTTTCATAAGACAAACTTTGATTTATTTTTTTATTGAGAAATTCAAGACAATGAAATCTGCTAATATTAAGTTAGGTGTGGTAACTGCCATCTACAGTCTATTATTGCCTATATAATTCATTCTCTGTTCTATCCATGGAAAAATTTTTTGAATAAAATCGCGTTTTTTTTTGTTACATAAGTCAGACCGTTTATTCAATATTTTAACGAAATCGTGGTTTTATTCAAAAAAAATTTTCCGTAGATATTCCAACAAGCAACCCCAATGTTGAAAGTATTTTTTTCGAAAATGAGACATTTATTCAATAAGTATTGCAATTGAATATCAGTAGATTCAATAGCTGAAGAAATACAAATTCATTGAAATATTTTATTGCTGCAGGAACATACACAAACATCTGTTGTCTCAAAAAGAATTGATAACCAAAATTCATTCAAAAAATGATGTACTTAGTAAAATATCCCTGTTCTTTATGTATTATTTATTATGTTTTACAACTTTGAGAATAAAGAAGTGTTAGAAGAGGTTGTAACTCTGTTTCTCGAATACAGTATTTATTCATATTTAGTCACTATTCTTGATTTGAACAAAGCTAATCGATATGATAAAATTGTCAGTCATAATAGTACTAGCAATGTTAACATTCTTCATGAATGTTACGTATTGACATTAAGTATATGCAGTGACGTAATGGAATATTTCACACTAGAAAATGAATATACCCAGTGAATGAGCAGAAATACAACGATAGAGAAATTCCAACATATGTTAAAATAGTAATAAGAAAACTCATCAGAAGAGTGTGAGTTACTATACATCCACTAAACGAGCTTCTTGGATCTATTCTGTCCAGATTCTTTTAATAGGAAAGAAAGAAAAGATTCTTGCCTGATCTTCATGACACATCGTGTGATGCCTTTGTGTACATGTGTCTATATATATATATCAACGCCTCTACACTATTTATTCATTTCTAAACGACGACAGATAATAATTATTGTGCTCACTTAAATGAAAAAATGTCTTATTTCCAAATAATATGTGAGTTCCATATCGATATTAGGTAAGTCAAAATATTTGAAAGTAAAGATGTATTCATTGAAATGTATTAATGAGTCAAATTATGGATGATTTTAGAGTTTTCAACAGACAAAGGCTTAGCGATATGTCGATCATCATCAGCTCCAGATGATAACTATGAAGATGGCAAAGTATTATAATAGGAATATTATACTTTTAATATAAATAAAATACTTTAAATTTTTTTCTTAATTTTATGTAAATTTGTTTCTTTTTATTTTATTCAATTTAACTATATAGAAATTTTATAGAGATTACGAGCTTTAATATTAAGTATGATTCTCAATCATATTTACTAGCTTTTGGTGATTTTCATAGCGATACATTAAAGATATCGTAGTGACATTAGTTTAGTTTTATATCAAAGCTATTCCATGTGATAACTACCGAGAAACTACCGCCCGGTATACTGATCCGTAGAATGTGTGCTACACGGACGGCTTTTTTTTGAGTGTTGTATCATAATGAATTGTATCAAAACGAGTGAATAGTTTTGGAATCTATTAAAATTGACAGAAATGAATCGTTGTTGACACATCCTGATACTGCTGATGCGCCTATACTAGCAACAAAGTACAAATCGGTTCTAGTTTAGTTCTTGTGAGTACCGCGAACAAACCTGCAACATGGGATGGAATGTCTTCTATATATATTTCAGTAAAATGCTAGAGTATAAATTAATAGTTTCAGATTTTTTTTGCTACTTGTATTCTAACATATGAATATAGTAGTATCGTGTTTTTCGGAGCTATTGTATTTATCAACACAGTTCAAAGTTCATATTTCCATCTACTATTCGACTAACTTTCGTATGAAGAATTACGAAATAACCTTTCAACGATAAAAATTTAACTTTATTTTTATAATTTTAGTTAAATAACAAAGAAAGAAAAAAAAACAACTTAACGAATCCATAATCGAATAGCAGATAATTCACTTTCATCTCTAACGACTAAACAATTTGATGGTAAACGATGTTTTAACCATTGAATAAATTCATCTTCTATTAATAATGATTCATTACTATCACCCCATTGATCATCTTGACATTGAAAAGTTAATGCACGAAGATTAGGCATTTTTTCAACTAAATCAAGAACAATTGATCGATTTTCAATATTAATTAATAAAACTTCACATTGATCACCTAAAAATGATTGAATTAATGAAATACATTCTAAACCATAAAAATGTCCATCATTAGCTATTAAATCAAGTCGACGAATTGATTTATTTATAATTTGTACTAATGATAATTGTGACATTATTAAATAATCCATTGTTATTGAATAAAGATTAATAGCTCGATTAAGTAATAAACGAAGATGAGTTATTGGTCGATCACTTTCATCTGGATGAATAATTGATACTAATTCAATTGATATTAATCGATTAAATTTTGATAGAATTGACCAAAGAACATCATCAAAAGGAAATGATAATTCAAGATGATTAATATTTGAAAATTGTAATGGAAATTGTGATGCAAATCTTAATAAAAAATAATCAAGACTAAGACTATTGACATAATTTGATATATGATATTTTTTATCAATTGAACAAGTAGATTTTGACATATCACTTGCAAGATTATAAAATTTTTTAAATCCATAAGGTAGAGTATAAAGATAAATAAATCCATATTCAGTATTAGAATCACATCGAACAAACCATTGATGATCATGAAGCCAAAATTTCGTTTGAAATGATTCAAGTGATTGATCAATTTCATCATTAATATTTTTTTCAACATCAATTTTATAGAACATTAATAATCTAAATACATTTAATTTATACAAATAATTAATAATAATTTGTTCCCATTGATATCCATCAATATAAATACCATCTGTTTCAATAATTAATTCTGATAAAGTAGGCATATTTTGTAAAAGATTTTTCAATGTATCTAATGAACCTTTAAAAGAAATTTTTAATTTTGATAATAGAGGAATAATAAATGGAAATTGTTCATTATAAGATGTATCTTCAATTCTTAAATTAAGATTTTGTAGATTAGGTGTATGTTGAAATAAACAAATTAAATCATTTATATTAAATAAATCATTTGCAATAGAAAGATTTTCAAGAGATAATGAAATTATTGTTGATAATGGTATATGAAAATTATTACAAAATGGTATATCTAAATAACAATATTTTAATTTTATTAAATTCCAAATATTATTTACACAAATTTGAGCTTTTTCCATATGATCATCAAAATTACATTTACTAATTTTAAGATAAATTAAATGAGGACAATCATGTATTATATTATTAATTAAATCTGTTGAACGAATATAATATAATGAAAGTGATTGTAATTTTGTAAATTGTTGAAAATGAAAACCAAATGAAAAAAATAAATTTGGTTGTTCAGGAGTATCATCATCATTTGAAAGATGAATTGATATTATTTGATTAGTTATTAATGGAAGATTTTTTTGACAAATATTATCAAAATCTTGCTTAGATATAGATCGAAAATCAAGTGGATACGATTGTAAATAAAGATAAATAAGTTTATTAAAACGAATATTTAAATCATGAAATGTATGAAGAAGTTGAATAGCATTGAAATATTCAAATATATCAAGTAATAATTCATTAGCTAATGATTCAAAATTCATATTTCGTTTCTTTAATATTAAATTTAAAATAAAAGAAAAATCTTTCGTAAGAAGTTGATTTCAATTTTTATTATTCGTTTTTTTAATCGATGATGAAACAATATTGGTCAATATTTTAAATCAATGGAAATATGTATATACATATGATCGAATGATGGTGCTAGTGTCTTGTGTTTAGAAAATAGAGAATGATTGTATATAACAGAATGTTTGTGATTTAATTGCATCATCTTCAGAGATGTAAACTAGGAATTTATTTTAATTATTTTAATATTAATCTAGAAATAACTCCAATATTTAAAAAGTTTTGTGAACCAAAGATGGCGGTAATGGTTTTTTTGTAGCCCATGGGATTAGGAATGTCGTATATTCGCACTACTGTTACCAGTAAGTGTTACGTGGAACGACTTGCCACCTATCAGAAAGGTGGACGGGTGTGGTGTGAATACTGGTTCTTCGTCACCCACACTCCACGTCCCACACCCGCACCTACACCCAGATTTGTCTCTATTTGGTTCTTATGTAATCAGCTTCTTCGATGCGGAGATTTCAGCCAATCAAATGTTGTCGATATGAGAGCCTCTTGTAGTCAGCCTTTTAATCTTTGCCTTCTTTGTGAATCAGATCTTGGAGAGATCCAGCTGCAGATCAATTCTTTTTTTTGACAGAAATTTCAATCTTTAAGCTGTTTTTCTCTGTGATAGTTTTGTCTTATGAGTTTTTTCAGGCAAGATTTTTAGCTAATTACACATTTTTTCATGTATAACTTTGATCTAATCATAGTTTTCATGATTGATAGTCAGCCAGATAAATAGGCTTCCTTTACATGCCTCGTCAGTGTTCGTTTCTGCTTCATTGAGGTTTAACAATTATTTCGTTTTTGAAACTGATCTTTCATATGTGTTGACGCAACGTATTGTATCTATGGATAGTTTTACCGTAGTCCTAGTATTTTCAAGATGTGGATGTGGGTGTAGTCCACATCCACACCCATTTGTCCGAAAGTGACACAAACCTGACACATTATTTGTTCAAATCAAGTCTGTGAAACATTTTTTTTTTGCAGAGGAGTAACATCGAGAAAGTACGTTTTGAGATAAAATATTGCTTAGTAAAGTTGTATTAAATTAGTGTTCGTGTAGATGAAAAGGAAAATTTCCCATGATTGAAAAGTAATGAGTGATTATTGCGAAAATTGCATTGAGGATAACTTGCATGTACAAATAGCATGAACTTGTTTGTACGTGTAACCTTTTCGAGGCGATGGAGCCCATCAGTTTGTTCTACTATAGGGTGATCTAAAAGTTCATTTATCGTACAAAAAATTGAATATGGCTGCCATACTAGGACAAAAGGGGCTGGTTCTTTTACCAGTAATAAAGGAATATTCATAGCTTATATTGATAAGAGAAACGTTGATAAAAGTTGTTTTGAAGTACTATAGTTACTACAAATGAAGCAATGAAACCTTTTCGCGAATTATGAAGAAGCAATGGTCATGTCACTGCAAACGGCTTAATGTAAATATCAACGTATGACAAAGATAAGAGTTAACAACCCTTTGAATTCACTTTCCTTTCTTAAAATATAAATACTGAGTTTGTCAACTATTGTTGAAGCATGTGTCAAAGACAGAATAGTCTAGAAAAAGAACTCTTTTATCTTGAATAAAGATTGTAAATTATACAAGAATACAGCACGGCTATCAACAACTTAACCCTTTGGAGACGGATTTTTTTTTCTGTACATTTCATCATAAATCAATCAATATTTCTATTTTCTAAAAGAACCTATCATCCATTACTGGATATCTGAATAAAATAACCTAATTACAATCCAAATTATACCAAAAAACTCTCTGATAAATGCTTTCATAAAAACTAATCTCATATAGGAATCTGTGTGTTTTGAAATGCTAGAGAATCACCATGGCCCCTGAAGGGGCCAACCGTCCCCAAAGGGTTAAGGACATATCTTTCGTCGAGTGAGCAGTAGCTCGAATATGATTCACCTTGACTGTCCGATCGCACACTATGACTTAGTACAGTCGACTATTGTCTTGTCTGATAAATGTTTAACGTCACTAGCTTTCTCCTGAACAATCACTCAAGACTCATTGATTGAGGTTGGCACTTTTGTATTCTGATTGAAAAAAAGAGAAAAGTCTTTATGTTTTGCCAGAAAATGGGCTGCAGAAAATATTCCCAAAGTAGTAGATCGATAAAATATTAATCTGTACCAGCCAGTAGATGTTCTTAGACGGATCACCTTTCGCCCGGGTTTTATGAATGATTAGTAGAAAATGAAGTATTGTCTTGAACTGCCACAACTATTTCAGTTAAGTAGCGTTATCAACAGAATATGGAATTTTCAAAAATTCTATCACAATTTCCATTACAATGAGGAAGTTACGCTCAAACTGTAATAATAGAATCTAGAAATAGTAATCGCGTGACATAAACGCAAAAGTTTTGGAAGAATAACAAAAGTCGTCAAACTAAGTCATGAGAAGCTTGGAGTATGGGCTGACTTCGATCCTAAAAGAACGAATACCGTGATTGTGCCAGGTTACTTCATGATCTTTCTGTTCAGAATGATGGATGAATTCAAAGCTTTTAAATTTCAAATAAATGTATTATGTTTCAAGGTGCTAAGAGTAACATTAGTCCTCCTTATTTACATGCATATAGATGGCATTGATATATTTCATTGTGCATAATGTTTTATGAAATTTAAAGGTAGTGTAGTTCAGATTTGAGTTGTTGGATATCTGTTGTGTTTCTTTCAATTGTGTGGGAAAGAATATGAAATGCATCTTTATAGTTTTCTTTGTACTACTCAAAGTTTCCTGAACAAGAAAATAAAGAACCACTTTATATACTACCCGAGTCATACGCGAAATCGAACAGTCCAGGGTCACAGCCTGTAGGGTCACTGACGACCGACTGCGAGCTGTGTGTTAAGGTTCGCTTAAGAAAGTCTCAACGCAAAAACGAAAGGTTCAGTATTTTCAGAAAATGATCGTCCCTGTCTATAGCATAAATGGTTTTTTTTTTACTGTATAAGTGCCTGTGTTCAGCATCAGTTCTCAAAACAAAATTCGACAGATGGTGAGAGATGATAGTTAGATCAGATTCAGTCGAGTGCCAAGTGAGTCGTGGCGACGAGCATTACTTGTCTTCTAACAGAAGTAAAAAATTCAATAATTGCATTCTTCCAACAAGTATCGTATTGCTCGATATTCTTCTCTCAATATATATTGATGTGGTTTTTACCCACATAGGTGGGTGCAAAATAAATACGCCTTTGCCTTTCAAATAAATGATAAGTTTTTTACCTACTTTTTGTATTACGACAAGTCTGAGAGATAATATTTCGAAGAACAGCAAAAACAACGGTCAACAACATAAATCCACTCCATCTAACTACGTAAATGCTCTATAGAACATTTTTACAAGAGGTGCATGCTATAAAGTTTTCGAAAAGATTGTGTAATACAAAATATTGTTTGGAAGTCAAATATTTCAAGGTCTTTTCGAAAGTATTCATTAGTAATAAGCCAACGCTTTATATTTTTCGAACAGAACTGAAAAAAAAGAGCGCAATACCCTTTGACAAAGGTATCGGGTTTCTTTGTGATGTGTCCCACGAGAAGGTTGATGCTGTGGTTTCTTTTTTATTATGCAGGGAAGAATAAATAATCTTTCCTTTTGCTCACTACTGAGAATTTTCTATGAGTGGGAGGAGAGGGAGTCGAGTAAGTATTTAAGAGAACCGAATAAAAAAAAAACAAGAGCTCTGCTGTTTCACAGTATTTATACATTATTCGACGATATATGATACTAGAAATGGTACTGTATGAGTTTTTCGAAACACGTAGGGTTATGTGAGTATTCTTTGTATTTCATATATATCTATAATATTTCCAGGCTATGCGCTACGATGGCCGCCAAATCTTTGAATTTGTCGGGAAGAAGATAGAGAAGCAAACACCTTTTTGAATTCAACACAATGAATATATTTTTCTAAGGTTTACATTTCTTGAAGGTCAAGTCTCTTTATTTAGCGAAGCGAACATCAACATAGATAACATCACTTATATCACTTCTCACAATTACTGTGTTTCTCATGCTGTGTCCTTTAAGAAGGTTGATGTTTCAGTTTTTTTCATAAAATATGCGGAAAAGAATGAAAAATATTTTCTCTTTTTCTCTTTCTTGCTGACTTTTTTTTGTTATTTTGCGTGGAGAGGAGGCCGACTATGTATTTTTTAAGAGAACTGAAAAAAACAATAGCTCTATTATTCCACAGCATATATACATTATTCAATGGTATGTGATATTGAAAGGATCGTTATCTAAGTTTTTTTAAATAAGTAGGACAATGTGAGTACTCTTTGTAGGTCATATATTTTTATTCTATGCATTGTAAGAGTCCGATTTTCGACTTCTTTGACTAAAAGAAGAATAAAGAAGCAAACATTTTTTTTTCAATTCGCTCCGATAAATACTATTTTTTTCTACGGTATGCATTACTTCAAGGTCAATTCTTTTTATTTATCGAATCGAAGAACAACATAGAAATATCACTTGTACCACTTCTCCCAATAGAAATGTTTCTCTATGCTGTGTCTCCTGAGAATGCTAATGTTGTGGTCTTTTTTTAGGTGTGGGAAAGAATGAAAAGCATTTTCTCTTTTTCGTTATTGCTGAATTTTTCTGTTTTGTGCGAGAAGAGAAACTCTAGTGTATATTTTTTTTAAGAGAACCGAGGAGAAAACAAGAGCTCTACTATTGTACATCATTCATACATTATTTGACGGTGTGTGCTATTAGAAGGTGATCATTGTGTAAGTTTTTCAAAATATATGGAATAACGTGAGTACTCTTTGTAGTCTATATATTTTCATTATGTTTCTATGCTGTATACTGTGAGGATTGGACTTTTATATTGTTCCACAAGAAGAAGAATAGAGAAGCAAACATCTTTTTGAATTTGAC